GGGGGCGCTCAAGGTCAAAGCGGACGCGCCTCCGAAATGTAGCACAAAGAAAAGCACAACCATGCAGATGCATCGTCACGGAAGGCATGGAGCCGGCGGGGTTCGCTAAGCCTGCGTGCTGGGGGAGCGCCGCTTGTGATAAGAAGGCGTGGCGCGCTGCTTGTAGGATTGCGCTGCATGTGGGAATCCTTTCGCATTCCTAAACGTAAGCAGTCTTAAGTGTCTCTGTCGAATTTTGGTTTTTTCTATCAGCGTTATAATGAATTGCTTTTATCTTAAAGGTGTTGTCTAACAGCCAGAAGCCTGAGCTCGTAGCTTTCTTTACCTTTGGCAGTTTCTCCTGCTGAGAAAGAGTTTGAGCAGCCGAGGTTCCTCTTGGGCAAAGAGCTCGCTCTTGTCGCCTAGTAGTGGCGTTGCCATTCTGGTAGATTTATATGAGAAAAGAATGAGAAGCCAATATTTAGACGAAGCAGTACTCTGTCCAAAAGAAAAGCAGAATAGTGCAAAACGCATGAACACGTTATATCAGCAGTTTCTTTTTGAGTAGAAATAAGTCGACACCATAAAACTATTATTTATGGCGCATGTGGTGCTCGATTCATGGGAAAGGGGGCTCGCAGCCGCGGGATAGGGGTGCTTGCGGGCCGCCTACCAGAGAGTCGCGGGCCGCATGCGGCTCGAGTGCCATGTATTTGAGACCCCTGGTTTAGACTGACAGCTGTGCTGCTTATGCAATAATATGACAATGCCAATCGATTGACATTGCGCCAATTGTGCGTCATACGGTGATTTGATATTGAAATGGCATTGCACTTGTTTAGCAATTTTCCCGCCAAATTTAGTGAGGAAACTGAATTTGTCTGTAGGTCCCGTGACGTCAGGTCTCATGACCCCAATTTTCCCACCAAATTTAGTGAGGAAACTGAATCGTGCATAGGTCAGGCAACATAAATTTTTGCACGAAATTTATCAAGGAAACTGACAGCGTTTACGGTCCGGCCTTCGAAAAGCTGAGGAACGGGCCACTAAGAGCTGTCGCTGTAAAGCGAGGGAAGCCTGCCTTTTGTTAGGTTTGTCCCCTTGTCATAACATTAAAGGACCATGGAACGAATTTTGGGCCGGGATAAATGAATTTAGATTTGGATTTTACTAATAGCATATCATTTAGTGGGCCAAGAGAAAGATGGTAGAAAGTCAGAAGCCAGTTTTCGGTATGAAAGTTTGATAACTTGGCAGACTATTTCGTACCTTCTTCCCTTCGAATGCCCTCTGCTTTTCATTGTGATACATCCACAATACCCAAAACATGTCACCCGGCCCCAACGCACATCACACGACATCCGACCTCACTTATTTCTTTGACTCCTAAGCTGACAGTGCGGTGGGAGTTATGCGCTTGCCGGACCAATCGGCCGCCTCCCTATCATCACCTAACCCCATTCTCTGCGCATAGGTATGCATGAGGGAGCGTCATCGGGTGGAAAAAGTGTGGCTGGCCCAACAAGTTCATAGCTTCCACAGCACTGTCAGCTTAGGGGTGAACTTAGTGGAAAAAGCAACTTTTGTCCAAATTTTGAGTGACGGGATGATCTTTTAGGGGAAGGACGGCGGTGTCCGGGTACGCAAACGAGGGTTCGAACAAGAGGGGAGTTCCTCCTTTCCCTCTTCTTGAACTGTTTGGTACGCTACACGATTTGTAAGCCGAGGAGGAAAGCTAAGGAGGAAAAAAGTTAAAAACTCGTTTCATGGCCCCTTGAATTAGACATTGATTGTCATTACCAGCATCACCATTCTTAGTCCAGTTTCATAATCTGTGTACTACGGATGTTAAAATTCCTTCGCGTTCACGTTTATATTGTCCTTGGTGTACTGCATTGTATCTATAGCTTATGGTCAGCATCAGTTCTATCATTCTCGTTAGTCTTCTGACCTGTCAGAACATGTGCAGGTTTCCATGCAATTTGAGTTATTCCTGGTTAGTTTTCTGGGTCCCAATTATTGTGCACTGTCATAATTTGCCAAATATTAGATTTACAAATAAAGTGGAATATATTTATCTATCTTACATTATTTTTAATGTTTACTCTAACTTTCAGTTTTCCATTTAAGTGCTTATCTCCTCCTGCGGCGGTTTTAACTGCCAGCAGAGATACCGCATTCGCCGGCAGACTGGCCCGGGCTTGTGCGGCCGCTGGAAATTCTAGAGATCTTGTTTTTGCTGAGTCTCCCTTGACCCCCAAATTTGGGGTGAAATCATTGTCCCTTTCAGAGACTCTATAGTTGTTAACATGTTAAGACTTCAGGAGAAACTCCTTGCACCTCTTTTCATTTTGGTGGAGCAGACGTTGGGGAGGAGACACCTCCTCTTTGGCGTTCGCTCTGCTCATCTGGAAAGGGGTTGGATGAGTTTCTCCTGAACTCTTAACATGTCACATCCATGTCCCAGCAATCTTTGGACACAACAAATCCAGCTAGGCTGGCAATATTCTTCGACCTTGATGTGGCCGGATTTTGACCCTTGAGACCATAAGTTCTTAGGCTTGGTTCCTTGAAACCTCCAAGAATTCTCAAGGAGGTTCTGCGAGTTCCCAAATTCCCTCGACCATTCAGGCAGCTAAACAAAGTGTTCTCGCAAAAGCAAATTGTTGTGTGTATGTTTTTACAGCCGTAAGTTTGTCTGCCTTTGTGGCGTCTGGTGTCTCAGCTGTAGATGAGCAATTTAGCCAGTGCGGTACAACAGCTAGCCTGGGGTCTTTAACGTGCACCATGCAGTAGGGATACATGACCGCACGCCAGTACGGTGCTCATCCAGATTGGAACGGGCAGGGGTGGGGTTTGAACCCAGGATCCTGGGTTCTGCAGCGCGAGGTTTTGCTCCACATGCTCCGAGCTGGTGTGCGCTAGCCCACTCAGCCATTGTTCCCCCAAACGTTCTGCCACTTTAAGCAGTATTTTACGTCTGAGCAGTCCACTGATGCGTATCAATATGTCAAATGTCCCTAGTATGTGCATTATTCTTCACAAGGTTTGTGGGATTCTGCATTACCTTATTGGCTTCAGTGCCAGAACCAGATGAGTTCCTCGCCTCTGCCATTAAAAAAAAAATTAAAATGCCGAGTTTTTTTTTTTTTTTTTTATTGATGCACCCTAGGGTGCCTTCATGTGCGCTTTGCTTTGGGTGGTGGCATCTCGCCATTTTGTCCCACACTTTTATTTTTATTTTTTGTTCAGAAGCGCGTGAAAGAGCGTGTCCCTGCGCGCGTTTGTGGCGCTGACTGTGCTATGGCGACATTTTGTTTTCGTCGATTTCTTTGTATTTTCCCCATGAGCGCGTGCTGTCGGCATCGGCTACTACAAAGGGTGGCATCACCCTAAACAGAAGGACATTGAGGCACCCTAACGCACCCTTTTTGTTTGAGAATCATGTTTATTTCCTGCAACTGAAAACACAAGCATCGTGCACTTCCATCGAACCCGAAATGCAGTTCCAGCTTTTATTGTGCAGTCAAAAGAAATCTCTTGTCCCGAATAACATTTTGGATCTGCGTAAATGGGGAGCAACACGTGAACATTGGTGTCCGCCCACGCTGCCTCAGCCCAAGCTGTCCCACGATTTAGCCCACCTCGGTGGCTTAAAAAGCGCCAGCTGCAGATCCGAGTTCAGTGCCGGCTGAGGTGCCCACAGTCTGACGAAGGGTTACTGCAAAGAAGGCAAGATTTCGGTTGCCCGTGAAAACATCCCCTGGTGGTTTCAAGTGATCCTTAGTCTTTCGCTGATGCATGCCAGACGCCCTTCGTCGGTTTGGCGTGCAAAGACCCCGAATTTCACTGGCACAATAGACCCTTTTCGAAAGTCCATAGCGCAACGTCGGTGGTCCCCATTTCTTGGCGTGAAGCATGCGATTGTATCCGAGTCGTCGCCGTACACTGGTGTGGCACACTTTTTGCGTGCGAGCCGGGCCAAGTACATGCGAGCACTGACCCAGCCCTCGTGTCAAATATATGCTCGGCATATGTGCCCGGACAATGGTGGAATTAGATAACTAGTGCAGCGACAACTATACTCCGTTTCACCTTATGTTGTACCACAGCGAAAGCTAGAATCGCGGGCTCATAGCATTGGCAGCTGCCCTTAACGCACGAGAGCTTATGCCGCCAAGATGTGCCCAGAGCAAGGAGCTCGCGCTTGTAGCCTTTCCTGCGGTACATCATAAGGTGAAACAGAGTATAGGTGGCGTACGCTTTTGAAAAGGGGTCTATTCTTGTGCCGAGAAGTGACAAATCGCTGGCAATCACCGTTAACCTTGCTGCATCCTCAAAACAGCTTGCGGCATGCTGTTGTGCCGCCCTATACAAGAATTTGCACTCGCGAATTTAGTGGGTATGCGGGACGCCGCTATCTCGGGAATTGCCATTGCATGGTTGGTTTCTGCTTCTACTTGTCTTGGCTTCATCCCTTTCCCAACTTTTTGTACCTTGCAAGAGCCACAAAACTTTACTTGGAATCGAGTTTGGGTACCTGCACGGTTGTTTTTATTTTTTTTTTGTACACATTAGACTGCGGTTGCAGCAAAGAAGTTTGTTTTCATTGCTGCAGATTCAGAGTGTGGCTCAATCTTTTGTTCTAAGGTGCCTTATTTTGAACCGAGACAGATTTTCTTTTAACCTGATGTGTGGCAGGCATACATAGTCATGTGTGCATTGGGGGAAAACAGAAACAGTTCTTTCTGCATTCTTTCTTTTTTTTGTTGTTTTTTTTGCATTTTGCTCGGCGAGGGAAGGAGGGTGGTCTTTCGGCGACACATTAGTTGAAATTTTCGTGGGGTACCGGCCCCCGCCGTCTATCGTAAGATGCAGATTGTATCGCTCGTACGTTCTTACGACACTCCGTACGTCAGGCGGCTTACTCTTTTTGTCTCGGCTCCACGGGCATCCCTTTTGTGACGTGGCCATGGGCGTACTGCGCTCAGTGTGTTGTCTTCCTCTCTGACCTCTCGCAGAGCCAGGCTGAGTCTCAAGATGCCAAGCACGACTCCAGCAAGGGCAAGAGCGAGGACGACACCTCCAACGACGGCGTGGGCACGCCCCACTCAAAGGGCGCTCCGTCGGACTCAGCTGCTACGCCGTCGCCCTCCCGGAGTCTGCATCCAATCTCCTCTCCGCGTCCCTCGGCCGCGGAGGAACGGGACGTGGCGGCGAGGGTAGCGTCCCCCGCGACGTCGCCGCCCAAAACACCGCAGTCCTCCGCGACAGCGACCCACTCCCATCCACAGTCCGAGCCAAAGGCGGCCAGTCCCCCGTCGAAGCCCCCGGTCCCTCCGGCAACTGCCGCAGATTCCAAGTCCACTCACAGTCCGTCGGAGAAGGAGAAGAAGGATCCGCCAAGGAACGTCAAGCCAATCGTTCCAGACGTTGCGAGGTCCGAGACTGTGGCGGCCTTGAAGCAGCCGGAGCCGTCGAAAACTGCGATGCCGAAGCTGGCGGCGGAACAACCCGTCGCCCCACGACCGGCTCCGCCAACTCCCGCGGAGCCGCCGCGAAAACTGGAGGGCACGCCGGGGGGGAAGCGGAAAGCGGACACTCCGAAGCCGCTCCTGGGATCGGCACCCGTGCCGCAGTATCAGCCGGCCGCCGCGATCGGTCAGCCGCCGAACAAGGTGCCAAAACCGGCTCCGAAATTTGAGGCACCGCAGCGCCACGCGGCGCCTGCGCCGCCGTTCGTGAACGGGTCTCCTGCGACCGTGCGGCCCACCGCTCCTGGGAGCGCAGCCCGGCTGCCTACGTCTTTCAAGCCGATCACGCCGCGGCCCCCAATCGCAAGCGTCGCGTCGCAGCCACCGTCCAATCACCACCACGGCCACTCCCACCTGGCGGTGCCGCCCGTGGCGGCGCGCCTGGGAACGGGTCACCATGGAGCCGCGACCGCGGCCAGAATCGCGAGGCCGCCTCACCTGCCGTCTCCGCCGGTCTCCATGGCAACCCCGCCCAATGGCGCGCCGCCCGTCGCGGTTGCTGCCGCGGTGACTCCGCAGCCTCCGCCGCCGCTCGTCAACGGCAAGCCAGCGTCGCCGCACGGTGCCGCCAACCACAGCGACCAGGAGAACCACGGCGTGGCGCACACGGCGAACGCGCCGCCAGCCAACGTCCCGACGAAGGCGGTGAACGGGACGGCGCCGCTTCCGCCGGCGGCCTCCCTGCTGCAGCCCAAAAGTCTCAACGTGGCACTGCCGAGCGAGCCGGAGGTTCCGTCGGCTCCGCTGGCGGCCATCCCGGACTTCTGGCAGAAGCAGAGTCCGGTGGTGGATCAGATCTTCATCACGGACGTGACGGCCAACCTGGTGACGGTGACGGTGCGGGAGTGCCGGACGCAGGCAGGGTTCTTCCGGGACCGGGGCGACGAGCAGGCCCCCAAGGACATAAAGTGACGCCGCGGAGGGTGGGGGGTAATTTAAGACGGCTGCGAAGGGCGGGTCGAGGGTGCAGCATCACTGTGGTCCAAGTTCGTTTGGGCTTTTTTAGGTGCCCGGTGTACAGAGATAGCAATATGAAAGGGAATACCGTCAAACTGTGCAGTTTAAATGCACAAAGTCGGATCTGCGAGTGGGTTTTCTGTTTTTGGGTCGGGCCTTGTTCTTGCCAAGCTTTAGGTGCACATGTGACACCACCATTACTTTGGTTTGCAGGAGGCAGGCGACAGTAACGTTACTAGGTCAAAGTCGGTCGTCAAGCCCGCAGAACGCCTGGCACCTTTTCGTGCTGTGTCTGGTCGGCTATCAGTCAAGGCCATACGGACGGAAGGGTCGGAGCCTGTAGAACATTGGAGCTGTTGAGAGCAATTCTATTCTGGTTTTTATGGTGAACATAAAATTTGCACAAAAACGGGATTCAACGGCAGTCTTTCTTCATTGCCCATGTGCTTGATGCCACGCCGCTGGTGGCCGTAGGACCGCCATCTCTCCGTACCTGCTCGCGTGTAGACACCAGAGGTGAACCGTTTTGAAATGACGCTCTCCCGTGGAGCTTGCCGACCAATCGATCTAAGAACGCTGGGCGGCAGTGCTGGAGACTGCTCTTGCCGCCCTTTACCCTTCGTTCGCAGAGCAGCAGCGAGGATCTCACATGTGCAGAAGGACTGAAGTTCCCTCCGTGCACCATGGCAGCGGCAGAATAGCCAAACTGGTCGATTGAATTGGTCCATTGTGCGCCATATTTGGATTTTCAACACTTCCCTACAAAAATTGGTTCTTCATTTTTGTTTATCCAGCTTTTCCTGCTACTTTCATGCTTTCCTAAAAATTAGAGGCAACTACCTCGGAGTGATATTTTGTAACTTTGTAACTGCCCTTGTGTCTTAGTAAAGTTCTATGGCCACTGTGGAGCTGCACCCTTGGAACCTTGGGCAAATGTGCGAAGCACAGCTTGGTGCCCGCGTCGGAGCAATGTGAACGGGTTGAAGAGGCAAACGACGGTATCCTGTGATGAGCAACTTCCGCATTTGGTCTCTGTTCTAATCCAGCAAGGAAATGAAAAAGATGCTTTGACTTGTTGACAGGCATAAGATCGCCATAAATTCCTCGGAATTTTTGTGTTTTTTTTTTTCGTTGATGGAAAGTTGGATGTGTAGAGTGGATCGTTTCTTTTATTTCGGATATTTTTTTGTGAAAGCATCTGTGTGATGGGGGAATTGGATTACAACGTAGGGGTGTGTGAATGTGTGTATGGAAAGTGCACTGTGGCATGTTTATTTGTTTTTCTTCCTGGCCAACTTCACCTATCTGTGTTTCATTGCTAACTCTGCTTGTGCACGTAGTTTAAGGGGTTTAGGTGAAGTGTTTTGTTGTTTTTTTTGGTGTTGAAGGCGTGGGGGGGCTAGCTAATATATTCTCTTGTTTTCTTATTTTTGTTTGTGATACCGGATACGAAAATGCAGTACCTGTTATATAATTTAATCCTTTATGTTCGCTGCTTCGCAGTTCTTGTCTGCTGTTTAAGGTACTCGCCTAAGGGGGCGCTTTGCATGAGGCAGCTTAAACATTCTATCGTGCTATGTACCTGTTGGTGGCACCTGATTCAATGTATAGAACAACATAGTTGTATCAATTGAAACCCAGTTTTCGTTAGATTCTTGTAAGCAAGGCTTATTATTTCGGACATGTGACACGCACTAAACGGTGCCAGTAGTTGCCAGATGTACAGTTGCACCCAGTGATGCTGACGATGTGCTTGCTTTGCGACATGCCACAGTACAAAGCAGAGAGATTTTTGTTAATAAAATGTGTACATACCTATACTTCTGGAATTGGTATTTTGGCTTCTTTGGTATGCACTGCTGTTGGTGCAGTAGTATTGAATGCTTGCCTGTGTGAGTAGTTTTTAACTCCTGTTCAAAAGTGACTTGTCATTTCAGGAACTGCATCTTAGATAGAGCAAGGGTTAAGAAACCCTGACTCCTTTTAATAAGTGGTTATATTTAGACAAAAACAAAAAAGAGGATGCTTCTGAGAAATTATGCCCACCAGTGTTGCAGAGTTGCCACTCCGGAGTTGCAATGATTTCGGAATCGTTCCGCATTTTTGCGGCTTCGGAATGGAATGGGAATGGAATGGTAGCAGCACTGGGTGCGATAGAATAGGAATGGGCTCGGTTCTTATGTAGGGATGCTGCGAACCACCCTAGGTTCGAATTCGAAAGTTTTTGAACCAAACTGGAGGTTCGAATTCGAAGGAGTTCGATATTTTCGACCGTACCAAGGTTTGAATTCGTAGAGTTCGCAACTTTAGACCACCGTGGAGTTTTAAATTCGAAAAGTTCGAAGCTTTTACGGTTTCTAAAAGTTTGGGTTCGATTATTTTGAATATTTTTATACTTGAGGCTGGAGAAATGAAAAGATTTCGAACTTTGCTAGCTTGAGATTCGCAAATTTTGAATTTCCTGGGATTTGGAGTTTGAAATTTTGAAGATTTCGAATTTCTTTGAATCTAAAGTTAAAAGATTTCGAATTTTAAAGACCTGAAATTTGAATGTTTCAATTTTTTATAGACACAAAGTGTGAAAAATCCGAAGATTTCAAATTACTTTCTACAGTTTGAAGATTTCGATTCTCTTTTAGGGCTAAATTAAAAAAAAAAAAAAACGAAGATTTCGAATTTCTTTCAAGTCCAAGTGCGCAAAGTTTAAAAGTATACTACAATGAAATTTTGGCACTTATTTTATGGTCTATATGTGTTCAAAGGAGCGGTATCACATCGAACACACCAATGTCTTCTTGAAAAAGTCGGGAAAAGGAATTTTAAAACGAATTAAACGATTAGCAAAGAGCACCTGGTGGATGTCGCTAACACCTCGCTTGTAATGCCCGTCTAGGAACCTTGACAGCTAGTGACGGTGAGTGTCTCGTTTCCGGCCACGACGAGAGAAGAGGGGAAGGAGGACCTCCTGTCTTCCCGAGAATCCCTTTTGTGTGCTCCAGAAGTACAGTCTAAGCTCATTACAACAGACAAATGGATATAACACCGATTTGTGAAATTCAGTTGGTTTTCCTCTACATGCCATTAACTCCACTTTATATCTGCACACAACATATTTCTTTTACAACAGATTGAAATCTTGGTCAAAATCAAGGTCTGTTATAACGAGCTTAGGCTGTAGTTCTTGTCCCCCTAGAAGATTATAAAAGACTAACCCCTCACTCAAAATTAATACGAAAGCAGCCGCTTCGGTGGCTGGAACGACTAGGCCATCCCCTCGACGTCAGCCTCGCCATAGCTTTGCTCGTCCCGAGACGACCTACGTCACGATTGCGTCAGATGTCACGTGCTTTAAGCTGGGCCTTTTCCGAGCACTTGCTAGAGTGGGCCGTTTATAACAAAAAATACAGCCACGAGGCTCAAAATACAAACGTGCGATTGTCATTTACGGATATTGTGGATCATATTCAACCTATTTTTGAACAAGACGGATATATTTCAAATTTCGTAGAAGTATCCCTTTAAAGCCCGGTTTTCGTGTTCCTCCACAGTTTCAGTTTAAAATAACGTTTTCACGATGTCAGGTTTAGAAAAGTTTGGGTGTGATATTCAGATTGTGCAAAGTTGGGTCAGGCAATTAAATGAGACGACGAGTGTCTCGAATGTACTGGAATACTTGCCGGTGTAGAGTGACATGTGACCATATATCAGTAATTGTGACCGCCAACCCGGGGGGGTCTTTACCGTGCATCACGGAGTGATCACACAAACGCTCTGTTTTACGGTACTCATCCAGTTCGAAACGGCCAGGTGCAGGCAGGTGGTTAAGGCTCAAAAAAACTTTGAAGCGATCTGGCAAACTGCCTCTCTATTCCCTTGCACACTGGTAGTAATCCGATCGAACGCCGCCCAAGCGACGCTGGCATATAGTAAGTTTAGTTTGTAATTGCTCTGGAGGTTCATTTTCCAGCGAAAAGCACAGAAGCCAACACAATTCGAGGTCGAGCAGCGTTCTACCATACCAGTGGCGTCGGAAGAGGAAAAATGGGGGGGGGAGCTCGAGTCTCCCCCCTCCCCCCCAGATATTTCGAACTGTTAGACAAAATACGGGGAAAGAGGGCGTGGTCGAACTTATTTTAATCTGAAATTATTTATGCATATACATAGCTACTGTCGCTCTTTACTGCATAAAACATCACATAGATGGTCATTGTTGGAAACTCGTTGTCAGAAGGCACTACTCGTCACATGCTTAGTGGTTCGGAAGTTCAAAGCGATGTCTTTCCAACCTAAATAACTGTGCCATTAGTTTAAAAAAAAAAAATAACAACAATACATGTGGGAATGAAAAGCTAGAGGCAAAAAAAAAACTATCAAGATCCTGCCGAAAGTGTTGTATTCCTGCATATTCAGAGGCTCAGAGCTTCGAAACAAGTTTCTCCTACCAAAACATGTACAGGCTGGAAGAAACAAGTCCCAGAAACCTAAACGAGAAAAAAAAAATGGCTTTTTTTTAATGACATGCTGAACTTGAACAATATTAGAAATCTTCCCCCATGAGTTAATTTATTCCTCAACCTGCAAAAACAATCAATACATTATTTCGTATTTTGCAGATGGCAATGTTATGTTCTGTCTGTGGTTTTAATTTAAATGCGATACCTCAAACAATTTAGACGAAAAAGATGACCAAGTTTAGGGCATAATTGCCCATAGGTACACGTTTGGACATTTCTTTGAAACTCATCTTGAATAACAATAATCATATCTTAAAACGACACTTACCTCGGATATACATAAATCATTCTTAAAAAGTTTTTAACACCTCTATCGTAAAAGCTTCGGCTATAGCGCGCTTAACATATGGCAGAAATGACGATTGTCAAAAACTTGTCGTCCTTCCTCGCTCCTTTGGGAATTTATTTATTTAAAACTAAGCATGCCAGAACATTGAAATAAACGACATTGTCTTTCGCAAGGAATGCGGCACCGCATGTAAAAATTCGACAAACAAAAGTTACGCATGTACTTCACTGCTTGAATCCAAATAAAACTGCCCGCCGGTCTTTTGAAGTTCAACGAACTTCTAACTTTTACCCTAAAAGTTTGAAGTTCGTCGAACTTTTGATTTTTCAGGATTCAAAAGTTCGAAACTTTTCAAACTCTCTAGATAAGTAAGTTCGAAAATTATTGAATTTCCTAGCATAGGAAGTTCGAAAAGCTTAGAACTTTTTAGTGCAATAAATTCGAAAGTTCGACAAGCATCGAATTTTGCAGCTTAATACGTTGGAAAGGATCAAACGTTTTAGCGTAATAAGTTAGAAGGTTCGAAAAACATTGCATTTCTGACCATGCAAAGTTCAAAATTTCGAAAATCGTCGAACTTCTTAGTTTAACAAGTTCGAAAATTCGAAATCTTTCGAACCGCTAGATTTCATCACCGAACCTTCAGTTCGAAAAAAGTTCGCGGCATTCCTATTCTTATGCGAGCTGTGTCAATTTTCATCTAGGGCCTACGGGCTGATGGCGCAATCGCTAGCGCATGGTAAGTGGCTCTTGAAACAGCATCATTGCACTGGAGGTGACTGACGCCTTCATTGTCTCACTGGCTTACGCTCCTTCAAGGATGAAAATGGCGCACCCTCCGTGAGGCAACCAAACGGTAGACAGACAAGGTGTCGTTGGCACTGCGAGATGCGACAAAGCGTCTGTTGTAATCATACGTGATTAGCATACAGTGTATCAAACCGAACATTGGAGCAAAACCGTTATTTTTAACCGAACCGGAACAAAAGTAACCGATATCAAACATTCGATATTGAAGCGGAACGGAACCGTAATCTCGTTTGGCAGTTACCAGTTCATTGGAAATGGTTCGGCGTAATAAAATGTAAGCCGCACCACCTTCTTGGGGGTAGCAGTGCAAAGTCATAAATATTCCTGACAGTAGCATCAGCAGCTCAGATTTGCCTAAACAAATGCCTGCAACGACATGGAAACAGCTCGGTAGTAATGAAACGAAATTAAGTATACTTCTTCACATCTAATAATGAAACAAGTACATTTCTTGTCTATGTGCAGCGCGAATTGGCGTCAGTGTGGAGGCGTACACTTCTATAGTTTGCTTTGGCTTACAATGAACCGCAAAAAATGCTACGAGCCACCGGAGCCAATTTGTAGCTTGGAGGACATTGCATGCCCTTCCGTTTAGGCGAAGCGACGGGGAGAGCGAAGTCTTAAAACAAGCTACTACTTCGTAGCATTCATCGTGGCATAATGCAAGGTGGATCGGAGTACATCTGACTGTGCCGAGTGGGCAAAGAGCTATTTGTGTGGGTGTGTGTGCGTTTCTTCTGTTGCTTCTAGGCAATATTGAGAAAAAAGAAAGTGAATATAAAGATCAAAACAAAAACAAAAGTTTACGGCTGTCGGCGCGTTTGTTCCGCAGCAGTGGTATCTGGAGGCAACAAGAGGCGAAGCTGCAACGAGCGTGACGCCGCGGTGTTAATCGCCAGGATCCCGGTCGCCCAGAGCCGACGCTGCTCGAAGAACTTTTTGTGTGTGTGTGTGCGTTTTCTAGAAACAGCGGCCCTCGCCGTCTTTCTTCTCTTCAACTCGGTCGTTCAAGCAAGTCATTGGGGTGTGCAGTGTCGGTTGTCTCAATCTGGATGACCTCTGGATGAGTACGTACAGTAGTTACAGTGTTGCCATACTCCGGCAGACGAAACTCCTATTTGAACAATTGACAGCTAATTTGTTTTTGTGCGTAGCTCGCGAGTATGGTGTGTGCTACCGTCACTGTCCGATTGACTTCACATGCGAG